CTCTCTCTCTCTCTCTCTCTCTCTCTCTCTCTCTCTCTCTCTCTCTGCTGTTGTTTTTGTAACTAATAACCTTTCCCTGCCTCTAGAGCAAACCTGGTCAACCGGGGCAAGTCGGGGAACTGGAGCATATTAAATGAGGGAAGTATTTCCAAGAAGCTTAACAAGCCCATTAGCGAGATTTCAGCAGTCTGCGGGACCGCCGACTGGTTCAAGAGCTGGCCAGGTGAAATGGGTCATCCCCAGAGAGGAGTTCCATTCCAACCTGCAGGGCCCCTGGAAGGTTACTGCAATCTCTCTGGGCTGTGGGATTGCAAAATGGGTCTCAGAAAACTTGACTTCCCTGTGGCTAGTAATGTCAATAGGTCACAGATGTGGATCTCGGATGTCATCTAACCTAACCTCCATCTTGCAGTTGAGGAAACTGAGACCTAGAGGGGAACTCGCCAAAGTCGCACATATAGTAAGCAGCAGTTTAATGGGGCAGAGGGAATGGTCATACACGTTGGCAGGGACAAACATTCGAGCGAAAATTCAATCATTTTTGAGATTTGCTAAAGCCTCTGTTCTCTCTTTGGTAGTTTCAGTGGGTGGGGTCCAGTGCAGAGCAAGCAAGCCTAGAGCATGTAGGGAGCTGAAAAGATGAAAATGTAGGTACCAGAGGGATGACGTGGGGGAGGGAGGCTATATGATCATCCAAGGCTACTCTTTGGGTAAAGAGCGGCAGATTTGTGGCATGAAAGAAAAATCTAGCCTCGGAGGAGCTTCTCATATCCTGGCCTAAAAAACATTCAGCTGGAAAACAACATTAGGAGGTACGGAGGGGAGTGATAGATCAGTGGGAGGACATTTGGAGGCAGGCTTGGCAGCATCCGAAGCTGGCTTGACAGTCCATTTTTAACTCATCTCGCTGAGCAGCAAAGCTTGAAGGTCAATCTACCCAAAGAAGGGGAGATTCATCACATGACCTCTGCCAAGCAAAATATTTTGTTGGGTTCTCCCCCACCTTTTTACTTCATTTTCAGAAGAGTGGTAAACAAATGATTCCATAAAAACACATATTTAAGAGCAACTTCTCTGGTGAGGCTGGAGCCAAAAAGAAAGGGAAGTGGGCTCAGCTTTGTCCAGAGATAAAAACAGCCACTTACCCAAGGAAGTATATGTGGGTGGACCTTGAAGCAGTAGTGGTCATGGCATAATTGCATTGGTCACACTAGTGGGTGAGAGGGATCTATCATGAATCTATTCTGTGCCAAAAAAGGGGGGGGGTGATGAGTTAAGGCAAACATCGATAGGAAAAACAGAAAAGTATAGTTAGGAAATTTGAGTGCTATTTAAAAAGACATTACTGGGAGTGCAGGGTAAATGTGTGCAAAGGATCACCATCATTCTCTGTGTTACACAGATTCCAAACTATTTCTCCCTTCCATCCCCTTTATCCAGCCAATTACCAAATCCTGTGGATTCCTCCTTCAAAGGTCTCTGGTATCCAGATATTTTCCATACCCACTATCCCAACCATAGACCAGATCATCTAGCCACTGAGCCTATCACTTACCCAGGAGATGGGATCTCTTGATAGTGAAAACCTGGAGAAAATGGACAGGGTTTTGTGTTGGACCTTAGGCGTTCCTAATTGTTTGAAACAGATGTGTCACCTATTTCTAAAGTCTTTTCTGTCTCTAAGATTCTGAAATCCTAGGCCTTGACATCTCTAGCACATTGGGTAGACCCCCTGTGGTACTTTTTTTGGGAGGAATTGGGTAAGAATTGTGATCTGCAACCTAGATCCGATGCAATCTGTGTCCATGGAAGGAGTACCTGAATCCACCGGATGATAGATGTATCTGAATGTTTGAGAGATGTCTCCATTAACAATCAACAAAATTCTGGTATTGGCTCAATGAAAGGAAGAGCTTCATAATGATTAGCATTATCCAAAAGTGGAACGGGCTGCCTCTGGAAATAGTAGGTTCCTCCTCAGTAGAGGCCTTTAAGCATTTTTGTTGTTATTGTTGTTCACTTGTGTCTGACACTTCATGACCACTTATGGGGTTTTCTTGGCCAAAATACTAGAGTGGTTTGCCATTTCCTTCTCCAGCCGATTTTGCAGATGATGAAACTGAGGCAAACAGGGTTAAGTGACTTGACCAGGGTCATATGACTACTAAGTATCTGAGGCCAAATTTGGACTCAGGAAGAGGAGCCTTCCTGACTCCAGGCACAGCACTTTATCCACTTCATCACCTAGCTCCATCAAGTAGTAGTGTGCTAGTAAATATTTAACAATTGGCTCTCTGGAGAAAAAAAAGTATGCAGGAGACACTTTTAAGTTCAATTTGCATTATTAACATTTTCTTCAGCACTTTCATAAGTCTAGATGATTGGTAAAACAACTGTGATTGATTGCATTTTACAAATTTTCTTTTTTCTTCTAATTTGTTATTTTTAACATTCTTTTTAAAAAATTTAGTTCTAAATTCTCTCTCCATCTAGTTCCTCCCCCACTCACCAAGAAGCCAAGCAATATGGTATCAATTACACATGTGAAATCATGGGAAACATATTTCCACATTAGCCTTGTCACAAAAAAAGCAAAAAAAAAAAAAAAACAAAGTGAGAAAAGTATACTTCAATTTGTACTCACAGAGTTCATTAGTTCTCTCTCTGGAGGTGGATAGCATTTTCCATCATGAGTCCTTTGGAATTGTCTTGGATCATTGTATTGATCAGAGTAGCTAAGTCTTTCACAGTTGATCATCATTACAATGTTGCTGTTACTAGGTACAGTGATCTCCTGGTTCTGTTCACTTCACTTTGCCTCAGTTCATATAAGTCTTCCCAGGTTTTTCTGAAACCATCCTCTTCATCCTTTCTCATAGCACAATAGTATTCCATTGAAATCCTCTACCACAGTTGGTTCAGCCATGCCCCAATTGATGGGCATCCCCTCAATTTCTGATTCTTTGCCACCACAAAAAGAGCTGCAACAAATACTTTTGTATTTTATTTTATTTTATTTTTTCCTTTTCTTTCCTTTGATCTCTTTGAGATATGGACCTAGTAGTGGTATTGCCACGTCAAAGGCTATGTATGCACAGTTTTATAGTCCTTTGGGCATACTTCCAAATTCCTCTATAGAATGATACGATCAGTTCACAATTCCACCAACAGTTCATTAGTGTACCCATTTTCCCATTTCCCCTCCAGCATTTGTAATTTCTGATAGGTGTGAGGTATTGTTTTAATTTCCCTTTTTCTAATTAATAGTGATTTGGAACATTTTTTATATGAGAATAGATAGCTTTGATTTCTTCTTCTGAAAACTGCCTGTTCATATACTTTGATCATTTGTCATTTGGGGAATGGACCTTATTTTTTATAAATTTGACTCATTTCTCTACATATTTGAGAAATGAGGCCTTTATCAGAGAAATTTAGTATAAAATGTTTTGATATTACTTTATTATTTATGGTACCTTTAGCAAAATGTAGTTTCCTTGCTTATCTCTTCTAATAAGGTCTATTTCTATTTTTACTTTGCCAGTCATGATTGCTATTCCTGCCTTTTTTACTTCAGCTGAATTATAATAGATTCTACTCTAGCCACTTATTTTATCTCTGTGTATGTGTCTTTCTGTTTCAAATGTGTCTCTTTTAAACAACAAATGGTTGGATTCTAGTTTATAATCTATTCTATCTGCTTCTATTTTGTGGGTGAGTTCATCTTATTCATATTCACAGTTATAATGACTAACTACTTTTCCCTCTATCCTGCTTTCTTTTGTGTATCCTTCCCTCTCTCTTTTTATCCTGTCCCTCCTCAAAAGTCCATTTGCTTCTGACCATTGCCTCCCCTAATCCACTTCACCTTCTGTCACCCCACCCTTCTCTTATCCCCCTTCACTCCTACTTCCCTTTTGGGTGAGATAGATTTCTACACACACACACACACATATATATATCTTCCCTCTTTGAAATAGTTCTGATAAGAGTGAGATTCAAGTGTTGCCCACCTCCACCATCTCCTCTTCCACTGCAAAAGCTTTTTTCCTTGTACACTTTTTTATGTGAAACAATTTTCCTTGTTCTTCCTCTGCTTTTCTCTTTCTCCCAGTGAATCTCTTTCATTTTTTTGGAGATCATCCCAACATAATATATTTACATCCATGTTGTCTATGATGACTCCTTCTAAATGCCCTAATAATGATAAAGTTCTTAGGAGTTATATATATCATCATCCCCTATGTGAATGTAAACTGTTCAACATTATTAAATCCTTTATGATTTCTCTTTAATGATTACCTTTTTTATGCCTCACTTGCATCTTGTGTTTGGATGTCACATTTTCTATTCAGTTCTGGTCTTTTAATCAGGATTATAGTACTTGAAAGTTCTCAATTTCATTAAATATCCATTTTTTCTTCCTGAAGGATTATATTCACTTTTGCTGGGTAGATTATTCTTGGTTGAATATTAGCTCCTTTGCCTTTATTGTATTCCAAGCCCTCTGCTCCTTTAATGTAAAAATTGCTAAATCTTATGTGATCTTGACTGTGGCTCCATGATATTTAAATAATTTCTTTCTGATTTCCTCCTTGCCTGAGAGC